ATTAGACAGCACTGTCAGGAATACAGGCAGTGACTGTTCTCAGATCACAGCCAGGACCTCAGGAAAGTGTTAGCTAGCCATGAGGGCTGACTAGATGGCAGATGAGCAGTTGCTAGTCCCAGAGCCTAGCCAGAGCAAGCATGTTTAATGAAACTACATGCAACACTCAGCCTTCAGATCTGAGTTTCTGGCCAAGTCTGGTGGTGCAGACCTTCAATTCTAGCACTAGGGAGCAGAAGGATCACATATGTAGCTCTAGCTTAGACTAGAGAGTGAGCACAAAGCCTGCTTGGGGAACCTAGCAAAACTTTTAATACAATAAAATGAAAACCAAACAGGAGACAGACTGTGTGTGTGTGGGGGGGAGGAGTAAGGAAGGAGGGAGGAAGGGGGACAGAAAGAAAGAAAGGGGGAGGGAGGGAGAGAAAAGAGAAACTGGCGTATAGTCATAATGTGCCTACCATACATGACACTCTAGGTTCAATTACAAAGACTGAGGAAAAAAGAAAAATATCTTATTCCCTTTAAGAAGATGCTTTCTCTTAGTCATGTGACATGCCTTTTTCCCCATGGCTCCTCAGAGCACTACCACCATATACCACTTACTACTACCACGGACCATCACTTGTCACTCTGTAACACTCTCATGCCTGTCTGCATCCTCCAGGAGACAAGCACTGTGAACGCCAACCTTAAACCTTCAGAGCCTCAGTAAGCATCTGTGGGGTGGATGTAAGGTCTAGAGGCTTACAGTGTCTGCTGTGGGAACCATTCCCTTTGGGAACCTGAAAGTCAGGTGAAGCAGAATTTGGATCCTTTCTCCAGACCCACAGCCATCTGTTTATTGTGCAAGCTCTGATGGCCTCTTCCTAGAGGTTGAAGCATCAGCTTTGGACAAGACCTTGGATTTCACTCTGTCCCTTTGTCTTTGTTTTTACTTCACCGTTGCCATGCTGCAAAGAATCAGGTGGTGGGCTTGGCACAGGGAGGACAATGTTCATAGACACACCCCCACCCTACAGCCCCTGTCAATACTGGATTCAGCCTGCAATTTAGTCATAAAAAGACATCTGTCTGGCAGGATACAGGGACCTGCTGCCTTGATTCATGAGTGCTAGGAATACATTTTCCCTCTCCTTAAAATCTACAAATCCATCTAACTGAGCTCTCCATTCCTGGTATTCCTAGCCAAGTTCAACCTCACTGTTATCTCTACACATCTAGCTGCAACAGAGTCTTTGACTGTGTTCGTCAGTCTATTCTCTGAGTACTTCTCTGTGGCCAGTCTTGTCATTTTTATTCTGTTCCCTGCATTGACTTCTGTCAAATGTAAATGTTACTATACCTATACAATTATTAGGCTTTAGTCCAAATTTCCAACCCTGTCAGAAGTTCTTGTACTGTACACAAGTACAGTGCACAATATTGTGGAATAGAATTCAACCACACGATGTTTTCTGACTCTGTCCCTTCCTCTTCACTTGCCTGCCCCTCCTTTTTACTTGGTCCTTTATTCTCCTTATAATTGCTTACTACATTCACTCCCTGGACATTTATGTGCCAGGTTCTGTTCTAGGAGTGGGAATTCCAGGGGAGAAAGGGTCTAAATCTCCCAACATAGAAGCTTTATATTTGGGGGAAAAACCAGTCTAGGTAATTTCAGATAGAAGTGTGTGCTCTGATGGAAAGAAAATGAGATAGGTCACAAAACATGACTTAAAGGGTTACTCTGGTGGCCATTTAAATGTGAATATTTAAACATGCCAGGGAAGGACAAGGTATTCTAGGTGGTAGCAAAGCATACATTTACAGGCCCAATGGTGAACTGGGAATGGAAAGGGAAAAGTATACCTGGTGCATGGTAGTTGGTGGGAAGAGGCTAGGATGCTGAGTTCTTAAAGTAGACTACCTTTAGACCTTGGAAAGCCTTTCTTCTCTGCCTCACCAGAAGTTGTTAAGGAGCAGCTTGCTTATGGCTCATTGTCTGGCCCCTGGCTTATAGTTTGTATGTATGTATGTATGTATGTATGTATGTATGTATGTATGTATGTATCTATCTATCTATCTATCTATCTATCTATCTATCTATCTATCTATCTATTTATCGAAATCAAGTACAGTCCTGACTCTGAGAAAGGCAGAAAGTGACCCCTTCAACCATCGGGATACACACAGGGGAGGGAAGGGGCAGACAGCCTTTGAGGAACTCATGCTTGACACTGAGAAGCCAGGGATGCAGCTGGTGGGCACACAATCACAGAAAGGAAATGAGGGAAAAGAGAGGTTTCACTGGTCATTTGGAAGAAAACTCCAGGTATTGTAGGTAGCCAGGGAACAAAGTTAGAACAAGTAGCTACTTCACTGGGACTCAGAAGGTAGTAGTTGCATTGTGATCAGAGTAACTCCATCAAAGGTCAGAAGACTGTTGACCTACCACAAAATCTAGAATGACTTCTCAGGACATCTAAGACAGCAAAAAATACCTTGCCAGTCTAAGAGGGAAATTCTAGATCCAGATACATTTTTACTTAGTTTATTTACAATAGACCCTTTGCCAGTCACACATCCTTCTATCTGCTGAGTCCTCTTCTTTCTACCCATTAGTCCCTACCCTGTTTTCCAAACAGGCCCTGCCTCTGTGCCATTGCATCAAGTACATCTTCTGCATGGAGTGTATCTCCTTTGCTTGACTACAGCTAGCTTTCATGTAATTGAGGTTTCAGTGTCAATTTTACCTTCTTATCTCAAGCTTGCTGCTCCCCAGAAAAAGAATCTGACTGGCTTCTCACTAGCCATTGCTATGTAGCTGATCATTTTTCCTGACAGCTTGGGTAGTTATCAACTAGCTAGCTGTGTCTATCCTGCTATGATACACATATCCTGATGGAGAGATCATTGTCTCTTCCTTCTGCTCTACTGTCTGTCTTAATAGATTCATTTATTTTCATTTAAGTATATGAGTGTTTGCTTGCATACATGTATGTGCACCCCATGCCTATAGTGGCATAGAAATCATAAAGGCGTATTAAATCCCCTGAAATTGAAGTTACAGATGGTAGTGAGATACCATGTGAGTACTGGAAACTGAATGGCATCCTCTGCAAGTGCAGCTGGTACACTTGACCACTGAACAATCTGTCTAGTCCTCTTTTAATCTGTTCCTACTCAGTGCTCAGAATGAGAAGAACACCTCTATATACATTTCTATATTGAATGAATGAAACAATTTCTTCTGTGTCTGACATTGAGGATCCTGGAAAGATAGAACAAGCAGCATATAATTTCTAATCTAATATACATCAGATGCTGACCTCTGGAGTATAAAAGCCATTTCTTGCCCATTTTGCAGTTGGCAAAATAGATACAAAGGCACAGGCTATATTGTTTAAGGTTCCATAGATAGATGTGGTGGTTTGAATAGGAATGGCTCCCATAGACTTATGTGTTTGAATGTTTGTCACATAGCAAGTGGCAGTTTTAGGAGGTGTGGGCTTGTTGGAGAAAGTGTGTTACTGTGGAGGCAGGCTTTGACATCTCGGATATGATCAAGCTATACCCAGTGTGGCTGATAGTCTTCTGATGCCTGCAGAACAAGACATAGAACATGTCTGCCTATATATTGCCATGCTTCCTACTATGACAATAGTGGACTAAAACTCACAAACTGTAAGGCAGCTCCAGTGAAATGTTTTCTTTTATAAGAGAATAATGGTGTCTCTCCACAACAATAGAAACTGAGATAGAAGTATTGAGAAAGTTTGACAAAAATTCTAAGAAAGAAGCTGTGTTTGCAGGGGATGATTGGCTGATGAGAGTTTCATGATTGTAGAGATACTAAAATATTACATGCTCCTGAGGCTAATTAACTTACTTTGGGCCAGTTCTAGCTCTCTAGGACAGACATTCCTTGCTCATCTCTGTGAACTAACATGTTGTGACTGATAAGATTTAAAACTTTTTAGAATCTATTAATTTAGTAGACCACTAACTAGATTCCATCAACCAAAGAGGTTTGAGAGCATCTTCACCCGATAGAAAAGCTTCCCCCATCTTGCTATACCTGGTTCTCTGATATACCCACCAATACATTTTAAACTCACCTTCATTTATGATTTTCCTAATTCTGAAAATTTATAAACTAAATGAAAGTACTTCTACATTGAAACATTGAATTTGAGATAACATAAATCTGTGTTCCTTGGCCTTCAGAATAAACTATCCTTTATTCTCTTTAAGATGAGACTTGTGGATTTTTTTTTTCCTTCTCAGAGCGGTTTACTCAGGCGTCTTTGCAGCTTAGCAGAATCTTCACAGGCGACCAGACTTGTGGATTTTTGTGTTAACAAAACTAATATAGTCAGACTCAGGTCAGCTTGATTCTATGTCTCTGATACCTGTGGCTACCACTCTCCTTTTCTATATCCTTAAGAGTTCAGGGTTGGCCACAGCTATTCTTGTTTGTTGTGTAAACATGAGCAACTTGCTTAATTTCTTTACTTTAACATTTTCCATAGTAAAAGCACTCAATCAATAAGCTACAGCGCATATGAAAAAAAAACAGGAGAAAACAGTAACAATCAAAATATCCAATAGCTTTGAACCACTCACTAAATGCTTTCCTTTTCTAAACCAACTAGGAAGATGCCAGTCCCTGTGGGAGTCTCCTTCTGTGTCAATCTAGATGAATGTCAAGATGAATCATGGGTCCTGTGTGAATACCTTCACCACTACATTCTTAGGAATTTCCTGGCCATGAGGCAGACATAGATATCTGATAGTTTCTTCTGTTTGGAAACTCACTCTGATCCATTCAGCTTTGCTAATGTCTCCTCCAATATCAACAGTGATCCACAGGAAGTCACCAGATGATGTATTGGCCCATGGATTCCATGGCAGTTAAGGTGTCTTATTTCTCTGAGCTGAGTGTAGTACCTAATAAGAATCCAACACAGACAAATGAGAGTATGGCCAATCTCTCTGATTATCTGTGGAACACTCACATTTTCACTGTTGACATCAGTCTCACTGGGGCATCCAAACAGCTCCCGCCGCAGGAGATTGCCATCATACTCCAAGAAGGTCAGGTAGAGGTTGCGGAAGAATTCCACATGTTTGTTCTTCACACGGAGCTTCTTGGGGGAGTTCCAGTGGATGACCTGGAAGTTGGAAAGGAGGCTATCAGATGGTAAGGGCCAGACAACATGGCTTGGACTGGACAACATATGGGTCTGCAGTTCATTCACTCACTCATTTATTCTAAATCATTGGCAGAGTTGTGGGAAACCAGTGCTGGGAACGGAATCAATTCTGCCTCTGTTTTAAGCTGTCATTTAATCTTGGGGAGGTTCCTTTACTCTCTGTGTCACAGGAGCATCCATAGTTCCTGTATGTGCTGTACTAGACTTTCATCTTTGGGAACCTCAAGCTCTGCAATACAGAAGCTGGGACCCTGCAGATAAGAAACTTGCTTGGTGATGCAGACAGTCCAGAAGGACACCTGAGACCTGAGAAAGGACAGACATTTTCTTTACTCTTCTCTCAGCTCTTAATCACCACAGTGTTAACCATCTCCTACCATTTCTGACTTACGTTTTATTTCATGCAAATTCTATAGTTGTTGCCTTGTTACCACTTCTAAAGACTAAATTCTGTTTAAATAATTTGTAAGGCCTCTGTCTTTAGCTAGCGCTAAGTGACAGTCTCAGCTATGGAATATAAACATGTGCAAACCTGGCACAGGGTAAGCTCTCACAAAAATGAAGGTTCCCTTAGCATCTCTAGTCTGCCACATTGAGAGATGTCCTGAAGTGTGTCACCCTGGGAGCTGCCCATAGCACATTCATGGTCTGCCAATATGTAATTAGAAGGCAGAGTAGAAGGAAGAGCATGGAGCAGAGATAGCTCTGAAATTTTCAGTAGTTCACAATAAGATCCATGGTCTCTACTTCTCTGTCTAGAGAAGATGAACACAGGAAGATACCCATGTCCATACTTAGGGGAAAAGAACAAGGTTTCTTGGGGAGATTACCTAAAGTAAATCACATAGAGAAGGCCATGCTGCAGCATGGGGTAGAACATGGAAAAAAATCCAGTGGAGCTGACTTCTTAGACCTGGAAAGTGCACATTTTGAACTCAGACACTCACTACTACAGACTCCTAGGGGAGAGTAAAATGGCTGACTGGGTTTTAGGACCACCACTGTGAAAAGATGCAACTGGTTGGGTGAGCAGGGAAAAACCAAAGCTGAGAAATGAGGCTTTGGGCACACACTTTTTGAGTTGGCTGAAAAGAGAAAACATGAAAAGGGGAAAATTGAGAAAAGTAAGTATTTGGAATATTTAACACACACTAAAATTATTCTAAATACTTTGATTATTAATATTTATTGGTACTTCTTCATACATGTAATTCCTACTATTATGTCATGACTATGAACAATTAATAATTTGGATTAACTTTTAACAAAACAAGTCCATGGGGTATCACTGTGAAGGGTACTCCTGTCCAGTAAGGTAAAGGGAGGCTCCAGAAGATTCTGTTTTCCCATGGTCTCACAAGTTAGCACCTTGTAACCCATGCCAAGGCTTTGCTATCTCTGAACTGGATGTGGAACACTGAAAGGGAGAAGGACTGTAGAGGTTCTCTGAGGATGGGTGAAGGTGTCAGCAGATTTCAACAGTGCAGCAGAAGGAGACAGCGAATGGGCCCAGGAAAAGTTAATCTGCTAAAGGACGGCAAAACCAGAGAAGGGCTGGCTCCTAAGGGACTGCTTTATGATGGTAGCTTCCATCACTGGTCACATTCCCAATGTCTACAGAAGATTCGAAGAAAGACCCATGCTCGACATTGAGTGAGAATAAGAGCTAGACCCACAGGGGCCAGTGTGGAACACCTGAAAGGGTTCAGGGACCTCATGTTGAGTGCTAAAATGTGTCCCAAGCAGAGAATTGTATCTTGAAAACTCACTAACAGGTTTGCATTTGTTAGGACTGTAATTTGAAAGCATTCCCAAAAATTTATGTTGAAAGCTTGAGACACAGGTTCTTTAAGAGAAAACTGAAACAAAAGAGCTAATGCCTTTATGGAGGGGGAGGCATCTGATAACAGGAGAGTTTTCTTCTTTCCTACCCCTTTCCCTCTCCTACCTTTGTGCCTGTGCCTTGGACTGAGACAGCATGAAAACCCTGGCCAGAGGCAGGCTCCTCAATCTTGAGCTTCCAAGGTTTTTGAATAGTAGGAAATGGATCTCCTATAAAGCCTCTGTCTCCAGTACAACTGTTACAGCAGCATTAAACAAATAGAACAATTGTCTCTAGAGGCCTACAATCACTGGAACCAGAGACAAAGAAGGGTAAGCAGCCCAAGGCACCTGCCCAAGGTCACCAGATTAGTCAAAGTAGGATTGCTAAACCTTACTTCTGGACTACAAAGAACAGAAGTTAGGTTGTTATAACTTCCTTTTCTTTGCTTTGATGATAAAGAAATAGTCTAAATTTTCTCCTCTGCAGTCCTTCATGTCCTCATTCTTGGGTTGTAAGAGTATTATCTAATGTCCCAGATACTCCTATTCCCCTAGAGTCATATTAAAGTTCCTCTAACCTTCAGTGATGGCATCAGGAGACAGGGTCTTTGGGGGTGCTTAGGTTGTAAAAGGGATCAGAGCCTTTATCCAAGAGGACCCAAGGGCAGCCTGGACTCTTCCAGTATATATGGGCACATTCAGAAAGTGCTATCGCTGAACCAGGAAGTGGGCTCTTACCAGATACTGAATCTTCCCCATTTGGACTTTGGAAGCCTCCAGAAAGATGACAAATGAATGTAGATTGGTTGTAAACTACTCAATGGCTCAGCACAGTATAAGACATTGCAGCTCAGCCACTTTTTTGTTCCCTCTGCATGCTGAAATCTGACTGTAGAGTTTCTGTAGGGCCTAGAGCCTGCCAGCTGGAGATGGGTCAAGGTGGCCTGGCTCCTTCTGTCCTCTCTTTGGAGGGTGTAGATTGGTGAATTCCGTTGACTCTGGCTGTAACTCTACAAAGGTTTTTCCCCTCTTTCATGCCCTTGTTGAAGTGTGTTTAATTTAAGCTTAATTTCCCAACTTCCACCTATAATTGGAAACAGCATAGTATGACCAGCTACAAGTCCTGTGACCCTCAGCTGGGCTATAGTCTGCATGGGACTGCACCAACTGTTAAAATCAACTCCATTCTCTTCCTAGAACTTCCAATTCCATAATTGCAGGATAAGGACGAGTCAGCCTGACAAAGAAGTTCAAGGGTTGATCCAATGCCTTTCACAGACAGTAAGGCTAAGACTGAGACTGGCTCAAGGTATCCAAGTTAGTCAGTGGTAAAATACACTTAAACAAAAAACCAGGTGGGTTTTCCTCAAAAACATTTTTCTTATGACTATACTGTTCATTCATTCATTCATTCATTCAATCATTCACTCATTCAACAGATATCAAAATCAACTGTGATTCTGTGTCAAGCACTGGCTGAGAGGGTGTGAATGCAAAGCTGCACATACAATTTTATAATCTGTCTAGAACTTATACTTCAGAGAAAGAGACAGGCATTGAATAACCATCTTGTAGCTGTAATTAGCCTAATCCACTCTGCTCCAGATGGTTTGTGCATACCTGCTGCACCCGCCCAGGAGCTTTCTAGATTTGTGAAGGAAATACACGCACGCACGCACACACACACGCGCACACACCAGTTAATTTTTTATATGCCTTGACTAGCTCAGAGAAAGTCGGGCAGTTTTTAATTCTTCCCGCTGCTAGCACACATTTCTCTCCTGTAAACCTGGCTTAACACCCTCTAATTCTATATTTTATCTTTGCTGTCCTAGCTCCTTCTGGGTGGTTCCCTAGTTTTTGCTCCCCAAGACACTTCTGTGCAGCTCTTCTGGGGATCATATTCCTTTTCACATACATTTCAGTTGATTTTCCTTCTGTGGATTTAAGTCTGATCCATCTTCCTCCGAATGATGGTGATTCCCCCTCTTCATCCTTTTAGTTCCCAGCCCACAAAAATCCAAAGGTCCTGCCTCAGTCTACCTGCCCAGTCATTTGCTGTTATCTCTTTATTGATCAATCAAAAACCAATAGAGGATGAGGACCTTTAATGTTTCTACATGCAGATGACCAATTTTGGCGGCTGGATTAATTCAAAGCATTAGAACAAATCCTCAACACCATCCATACTAACATACAATCATGACACGTGACTTCAAATGTTTTAATGACTCTTCCCCCATTAGTCACTTTAACATGAAACTAGGGTCCCCACTAGCATGGTAAGCTGTACAGTGTCACACAGCACGGCCAGCTTATATTTCCTGGGTGACTACTTCTCTACTTTTATAACTCTGACACAGTGAATCAGGGTTCCTGCTGCTGATGTTTTCAATTATGGCTCTCTGCTTAGTGAGGAATGTCATTTCTGCGTCTCTTGATAGACAGAATCACTATCACTGCTGGCATTGAGGTAGCAATACCTGAGACTGACAGTAAAGAATATATCTGCAAATAGATTTTTATGTGAAGCTGGTGAACAGAGTTGAATCTGCAATGCCTGTGATGAGAACCTGCCATAACTTATTCCCATTTCTAAGGCACATTAACACTGCAGTTATGATATCAATGATGATTATAATAGCTTGCTATTCACATGATTTGATATGTACTGTGTGCCAAACACTGCTTCAAACATTTCACTTGCCATAACTTATTTGTTCTTATCATACTTCTACAAGACATCCTAATTATGTCCTGTGAGGGTTAATATTGTCAATTTGACAGGATTTAGAATCATATAGGAAACAAGTCTCTGAGCATGCCAGTGAAAATTGGCTGTGAGAGCATCACTCCATGGGTTGGAGTCCAGGATCCAATAAAATGGATAAAGTGAGCTGAGCATCAGCAATGATCTGTCTCTGCTTCTTTACTGCAGAAACAATGTGACCAACCACCTTACACTCCTGCTACAGTGTGTTTTTTTTCTTTGTCATAATGTACTATATCCTTGAAGTGTGAGCCAAAGTAAAGCCCTCCTTTCTTATGTGGCTTGTCAGATATTTTTGTTACACCAATGAGAAAAGTAACTATTGTATACTCCATTCAGGTAAGCAAAGTTTAGATAATTTTCC